TCATCATCACATCATCACATCAACATCATCATCATCACAACATCACCGTCATCATCAACATCATCATCATCACCAACATCACCATCATCAACATCATCACATCACCACCATCACAACCCGTACCACCACGACCAGCTGGACCGCATATTCAGTGTCATGGGCTTTCCTGCAGGTAACATCATCACTAACATCATCATCATCATCACATCATCATCACTAACATCATCATCACCACCACCACAACCCGTACCACCATGACCAGCTGGACCGCATTTTCAGTGTCATGGGCTTTCCTGCAGGTAACATCATCACTAACACATCATCACATCATCATCAACATCATCATTACTAACATCATCACATCACCATCACCACCACAACCCGTACCACCACGACCAGCTGGACCGCATATTCAGTGTCATGGGCTTTCCTGCAGGTAGTAACATCATCACTAACATCATCATCATCATCACATCATCATTACTAACATCATCACATCATCACTAACATCATCACATCATCACTAACATCATCATCACAACCCGTACCACCACGACCAGCTGGACCGCATATTCAGTGTCATGGGCTTTCCTGCAGGTAGTAACATCATCACTAACATCATCATCATCACATCATCATTACTAACATCATCACATCATCACTAACATCATCACATCATCACTAACATCATCATCACAACCCGTACCACCACGACCAGCTGGACCGCATTTTCAGTGTCATGGGCTTTCCTGCAGGTAGCCACATCATCACTAACATCATCAACATCATCATCACATCATCATCACCACCACAACCCATACCACCACGACCAGCTGGACCGCATATTCAGTGTCATGGGCTTTCCTGCAGGTAACATCGTCACTAACATCACCATCACTAACATCATCATCATCACTATCATCATCATCATCACCACATCACCACCATCACAACCCGTACCACCACGACCAGCTGGACCGCATTTTCAGTGTCATGGGCTTTCCTGCAGGTAACATCATCATCACTAACATCATCATCATCATCACTAACATCATCATCATCACTAACGTCATCAACATCACCACATCACCACCACAACCCGTACCACCACGACCAGCTAGACCGCATATTCAGTGTCATGGGCTTTCCTGCAGGTAACATCATCACTAACATCATCATCACCATCATCTCCATCATCACAACATCATCACAACCCGTACCACCACGACCAGCTGGACCGCATTTTCAGTGTCATGGGCTTTCCTGCAGCTAACAACATCATCACTAACATCATCATTAACAACATCACCACATCATCACCACCACAACCCGTACCACCACGACCAGCTGGACCGCATATTCAGTATCATGGGCTTTCCTGCAGGTAGTAGCATCATCACTAACATCATCATCACATCACATCATCACTAACATCATCATCACCACCATCACAACCCCTACCACCACGACCAGCTGGACCGCATATTCAGTGTCATGGGCTTTCCTGCAGGTAACATCATCATCACATCATCATCACTAACATCATCACATCATCACTAACATCATCACATCATCACTAACATCATCATCACAACCCGTACCACCACGACCAGCTGGACCGCATATTCAGTGTCATGGGTTTTCCTGCAGGTAACATCATCACTAACATCATCACTAACATCATCATCACTAACATCATCACATCATCATCACATCACATCATCACCATCATCACTAACATCATCACTAACATCATCACCATCATCATCACTAACATCATCAACATCACCACATCATCATCACCACCACCACAACCCGTACCACCACGACCAGCTGGACCGCATTTTCAGTGTCATGGGCTTTCCTGCAGGTAGTAGCATCATCACTAACATCATCATCATCACCATCATCATCATCACATCACCATCATCACAACATCACCATCATCACTAACATCATCACCACCACAACCCGTACCACCACGACCAGCTGGACTGCATATTCAGTGTCATGGGCTTTCCTGCTGGTACCATCATCATCACTAACATCATCATCATCACTAACATCATCACTAACATCATCATCACATTATCACCATCACCACATCATCACCACCACCACAACCCCTACCACCACGACCAGCTGGACCGAATATTCAGTGTCATGGGCTTTCCTGCTGGTAACATCATCACTAACATCATCATCACCACATCATCACCACCATCATCACATCATCACTAACATCATCATCATCACTATCATCACTAACATCATCATCATCACCAACATCACCATCATCACATCATCACCACCATCACAACCCGTACCACCACGACCAGCTGGACCGCATATTCAGTGTCATGGGCTTTCCTGCAGGTACCATCATCACTAACATCATCATCACTAACATCATCATCACATCATAATCATCATCATCATCATCACATCATCATCATCATCACATCATCATCATCATCATCACATCATCACCATCACAACCCGTACCACCACGACCAGCTGGACCGCATATTCAGTGTCATGGGCTTTCCTGCTGGTAACATCATCATCACTAACATCATCACTAACATCATCATCAACATCACCACATCACCACCACCATCACAACCCGTACCACCACGACCAGCTGGACCACATATTCAGTGTCATGGGCTTTCCTGCAGGTAACATCATCAACATCACCACATCATCATCAACATCATCACTAACATCATCATCACTAACATCATCATCACATCATCACCACAACCCGTACCACCACGACCAGCTGGACCGCATATTCAGTGTCATGGGCTTTCCTGCAGGTAGTAACATCATCATCACTAACATCATCAACATCACATCATCATCATCACATCATCATCACTAACATCATCATCATCATCATCACTAACATCATCATCACATCACCACAACCATCACAACCCGTACCACCACGACCAGCTAGACCGCATATTCAGTGTCATGGGCTTTCCTGCAGGGAGTAACATCATCATCACATCATCATCATCATCATCACATCATCATCATCATCACATCATCACCATCACAACCCGTACCACCACGACCAGCTGGACCGCATTTTCAGTGTCATGGGCTTTCCTGCAGGTAACATCATCATCACTAACATCATCATCATCATCACTAACATCATCACATCATCACTATCACATCATCATCAACATCACCACATCACCACCACCACAACCCGTACCACCACGACCAGCTGGACCGCATATTCAGTGTCATGGGCTTTCCTGCTGGTAGCATCATCACTAACATCATCACTAACATCACCATCATCATCAACATCATCATCACATCACCACATCACCACCACAACCCGTACCACCACGACCAGCTGGACCGCATATTCAGTGTCATGGGCTTTCCTGCTGGTAGCATCATCACTAACATCATCACTAACATCACCATCATCATCAACATCATCATCACATCACCACATCACCACCACAACCCGTACCACCACGACCAGCTGGACCGCATTTTCAGGGTCATGGGCTTTCCTGCAGGTAACATCATCATCACTAACATCATCATCACATCATCACATCACCACATCATCATCATCACAACATCACTAACATCATCATCATCACTAACATCATCACTAACATCACCATCACTAACATCACTAACATCATCATCACATCACCATCACCATCACAACCCGTACCACCACGACCAGCTGGACCGCATTTTCAGTGTCATGGGCTTTCCTGCAGGTAGTAACATCATCACTAACATCATCATCACATCATCACTAACATCATCATCACATCATCATTAACATAATCATCACATCATCATCATCACAACATCACCATCACAACCCGTACCACCACGACCAGCTGGACCGCATATTCAGTGTCATGGGCTTTCCTGCTGGTACCATCATCATCATCATCACATCATCATCACATCATCACAACATCACCATCACAACCCGTACCACCACGACCAGCTGGACCGCATATTCAGTGTCATGGGCTTTCCTGCTGGTACCATCATCACTAACACCATCACCATCACATCATCACAACATCACCACCACCAACAACACCACCACCAACATCTCCACCAACATCTCCACCACCACCAACATCATCACCAACAATATCACCACCACCAACATCATCACCACCAACATCACCACCACCAACATCACCACCACCAACATCACCACCAACATCACCACCAACATCACCACCAATAACATCACCAACAACATCACCACCAACATCATCACCAACAACATCACCACCACCAACAACATCATCACCAACAACATCACCACCACCACCACCAACATCATCACCAACAACATCACCATCACCAACATCATCATCACCAACAACATCACCACCACCAACAACATCATCACCAACAACATCACCACCACCACCAACATCATCACCAACAACACCACCACCACCACCAACATCATCACCAACAACATCACCACCAACAACATCATCACCAACAACATCACCACCACCAACATCATCACCAACAACATCACCATCACCAACATCATCATCACCAACAACATCACCACCACCAACAACATCATCACCAACAACATCACCACCAACATCATCACCAACAACATCATCACCACCAACAACATCATCACCAACAACATCACCACCACCAACAACATCATCACCAACATCACCACCACCAACATCATCACCACCAACATCACCACCACCAACATCACCACCACCAACATCACCACCAACATCACCACCAACATCACCACCAACATCACCACCAACAACATCACCACCACCAACATCAACATCACCAACAACAACATCACCATCACCATCATCACCAACATCATCACCATCACCAACATCACCAACATTACCACCACCAACATCACCACCATCACCATCATCACCATCACCAACATCACCACCAACATCTCCACTATCGCCCCTCCCCTCCCCCAGACAAGGAGTGGGAGGACATCCGGAAGATGCCTGAACATGCAACACTTATCAAAGACTTCCGTCGCAATAAGTACGTGGTGGTGGTTGTGGTGGTGGTGGTGGTTGTGGTGGTGGTGGTGGTGGTTGTGGTGGTGGTGATGGTGGTGGTGGTGGTGGTTGTGGTTGTGGTGGTGGTTGTGGTGGTGGTGATGGTGGTGGTTGTGGTGGTGGTTGTGGTGGTGGTGGTGGTGGTGATGGTGGTGGTGGTGGTTGTGGTGGTGGTTGTGGTGGTGGTGGTTGTGGTGGTGGTTGTGGTGGTGGTGGTGGTGGTGGTTGTGGTGGTGGTGGTGGTGATGGTGGTGGTGGTTGTGGTGGTGGTTGTGGTGGTGGTGATGGTGGTGATGGTTGTGGTGGTGGTGGTGGTTGTGGTGGTGGTTGTGGTGGTGGTGGTGGTGGTTGTGGTGGTTGTGGTGGTGGTTGTGGTGGTGGTTGTGGTGGTTGTGGTGGTGGTAGTTGTGGTGGTGGTGGTTGTGGTGGTGGTGGTGGTTGTGGTGGTTGTGGTGGTGGTGGTGGTTGTGGTGGTGGTTGTGGTGGTGGTTGTGGTGGTGGTTGTGGTGGTGGTTGTGGTTGTGATGGTGGTGGTTGTGGTGGTGGTGGTGGTTGTGGTGGTGGTGGTGGTTGTGGTGGTGGTTGTGGTGGTGGTGGTGGTGGTTGTGGTGGTGGTGGTTGTGGTGGTGGTTGTGGTGGTGGTTGTGGTGGTGGTGGTTATGGTGGTTGTGGTGGTGGTTGTGGTGGTTGTGGTGGTGGTTGTGGTGGTGGTTGTGGTGGTGGTTGTGGTGGTGGTGGTGGTTGTGGTGGTGGTGGTTGTGGTGGTGGTGGTTGTGGTGGTGGTGGTGGTTGTGGTGGTGGTGGTTGTGGTGGTGGTTGTGGTGGTGGTTGTGGTGGTGGTTGTGGTTGTGATGGTGGTGGTTGTGGTGGTGGTGGTGGTTGTGGTGGTGGTGGTTGTGGTGGTGGCGGTGGTGGTTGTGGTGGTGGTGGTTGTGGTGGTGGTGGTGGTTGTGGTGGTGGTGGTGGTGGTGGTGGTTGTGGTGGTGGTGGTTGTGGTGGTGGTGGTGGTTGTGGTGGTGGTGGTGGTTGTGGTGGTGGTGGTTATGGTGGTTGTGGTGGTGGTTGTGGTGGTTGTGGTGGTGGTTGTGGTGGTTGTGGTGGTGGTGGTTGTGGTGGTGGTGGTTGTGGTGGTGGTGGTTGTGGTGGTGGTGGTGGTTGTGGTGGTTGTGGTGGTTGTGGTGGTGGTTGTGGTGGTGGTTGTGATGGTGGTGGTGGTGGTTGTGGTGGTGGTTGTGGTTGTGGTGGTGGTGGTTGTGGTGGTGGTTGTGGTGGTGGTTGTGGTGGTGATGGTTGTGGTGGTGGTGGTAGTGGTGGTTGTGGTGGTTGTGGTGGTGGTGGTTGTGGTGGTGGTGGTGGTTGTAGTGGTGGTTGTGGTGGTGGTTGTGGTTGTGATGGTGGTGGTTGTGGTGGTGGTTGTGGTGGTTGTGGTGGTGGTTGTGGTGGTGGTGGTTGTGGTGGTGGTGGTTGTGGTGGTGGTGGTGGTGGTTGTGGTGGTGGTGGTTGTGGTGGTGGTGGTTGTGGTGGTGGTGGTTGTGGTGGTGGTTGTTGTGGTGGTTGTGGTGGTGGTTGTGGTGGTGGTTGTGGTGGTGGTGGTTGTGGTGGTGGTGGTGGTTGTGGTGGTGGTGGTGGTTGTGGTGGTGGTGGTTGTGGTGGTGGTTGTGGTGGTGGTTGTGGTGGTGGTGGTTGTGGTGGTGGTTGTGGTGGTGGTGGTTGTGGTGGTGGTGGTTGTGGTGGTGGTGGTTGTGGTGGTGGTGGTTGTGGTGGTGGTTGTGGTGGTGGTGGTGGTTGTGGTGGTGGTGGTGGTGGTGATGGTGGTTGTGGTGGTGGTGGTTGTGATGGTGATGGTGGTTGTGGTGGTGGTGATGGTTGTGGCCGTGGTGGTTGTTGGTGGTGTTTGTGGGGTTGTTGTTGATGGTTGTTGATGTTGTAGCTTAGTTGTTGATGGTTGTTTTTGATGATTGTTGTTGTTGATGGTTGTTAATGGTTGTTGATGTTGATGGTTGTTGTTGATGGTTGTTGTTGTTGATGGTTGTTGTTGTTGATGGTTGTTGTTGTTGATGTTGTTGATGTTGTTGTTGATGTTGTTGTTGTTGATGTTGTTGTTGATGTTGTTGATGTTGTTGTTGATGTTGTTGTTGATGTTGTTGTTGATGGTTGTTGTTGGTGTTGTTGATGTTGATGGTTGTTGATGGTTGTTGTTGATGTTGTTGTTGATGTTGTTGTTGTTGATGGTTGTTGATGGTTGTTGTTGATGTTGTTGATGTTGTTGTTGATGTTGTTGATGATGATGTTGTTGTTGATGTTGTTGTTGATGTTGTTGTTGTTGATGTTGTTGTTGTTGATGTTGTTGATGTTGTTGTTGTTGTTGATGTTGTTATTGTTGGTTGTTGTTGATGGTTGATGTTGTTGTGGTTGATGTTGTTGTTGTTGACGTTGTTGTTGATGGTAGTTGTTGTTGTTGATGATGATGTTGTTGTTTATGATGTTGTTTTGTTGTTGATGATGTTGTTGATGTTGTTGATGATGATGTTGTTGATGTTGTTGATGGTGTTTATAATGTTGTTAATGTTGACGTTGTTGTTGATGTTGTTGTTGTTGTTGATGATGATGTTGTTGTTGTTGATGTTGTTGTTGTTGATGTTGTTGATGTTGTTGTTGATGATGTTGTTGTTGATGTTGTTGATGTTGATGTTGTTGTTGATGTTGTTGTGGTTGTTGTTGATGTTGTAGATGATGATGTTGTTGTTGTTGATGATGTTGTTGTTGACGTTGTTGTTGTTGATGATGTTGTTGATGACGTTGTTGTTGATGTTGTTGTTGTTTATAATGTTGTTGTTGACGTTGTTGTTGTTGTTGTTGTAGCTACGTCAACTGCAGTCTCGTCAAGTACATGGAGAAGCACAAAGTAAAGCCGGACAGTAAAGCGTTCCACCTGGTAACCAGGGGTAACCTGGGGTAACCAGGGGTGACCTGGGGTAACCACGGGTAACCTGGGTAACCAGGGTAACCAGGGGTAACCTGGGCTATCCACGGGTAACCTGGGTAACCAGGGGTAACCTGGGTAACCAGGGGTGACATGGGTTAACCAGGGTAACCAGGGTAACTTGTGGTAACCAGGGTAACCAGGGGTAACCTGGGGTAACCAGGGGTGACATGAGGTAACCAGGGTAACCAGGGGTGACATGGGGTAACCAGGGGTAACATGGGGTGACATGGGGTAACCAGGGGTAACCTGGGGTAACATGAGTTTACCGTGGAAATAACCACAGGGTAATGGCGGGTCAACAATGGGGTAACCATGATGGTAAACACGGTAACAGTGGTGGCAGTGGTGGCAACCACTGTAGCGGTAACCACGGCAACTGTGATGGCGGTAACCGTGGTAACTGATGGCGGTAAACCGTGGTAACTAATGGCGGTAACCGTGGTAACTGTGATGGGGGTAACCACGGCAACTGTGATGGCGGTAACCGTGGTAACTGATGGCGGTAACCATGGTAACTGTGATGGCGGTAACCATGGCAACTGTGCGCAGCTCCAGAAGCTGCTGACCATGGACCCCACGCGGAGAATCTCGTCGGAGACGGCCATGCAAGACTGTTACTTTCATGAAGAGCCTCTGCCTCATACTGAGTACGTGTACTAGTACTAGCCATGCAAGACTGTTACTTTCACGAAGAGCCTCTGCCTCATACTGAGTACGTGTACTAGTACTAGCCATGCAAGACTGTTACTTTCATGAAGAGCCTCTGCCTCATACTGAGTACGTGTACTAGTACTAGCCATGCAAGACTGTTACTTTCATGAAGAGCCTCTGCCTCATACTGAGTTAGTACTAGTAGTACTAACTAGTACTACACACTACACAGTAGTAGTAGTAGCCATGCAAGACTGTTACTTTCATGAAGAGCCTCTGCCTCATACTGAGTACGTGTACTAGTACTAGCCATGCAAGACTGTTACTTTCATGAAGAGCCTCTGCCTCATACTGAGTACGTGTACTAGTACTAGCCATGCAAGACTGTTACTTTCATGAAGAGCCTCTGCCTCATACTGAGTACGTGTACTAGTACTAGCCATGCAAGACTGTTACTTTCATGAAGAGCCTCTGCCTCATACTGAGTACGTGTACTAGTACTATCCATGCAAGACTGTTACTTTCATGAAGAGCCTCTGCCTCATACTGAGTACGTGTACTAGTACTAGTACTAACTACTACTACACACTACACAGTAGTAGTACTAACTAGTACTACACACTACACAGTACTAGTACTAGCCATGCAAGACTGTTACTTTCACGAAGAGCCTCTGCCTCATACTGAGTTAGTACTACTAGTACTAACTATTACTACTCACTACACAGTAGTAGTACTAGCTATGCAAGACTGTTACTTTCACAAGGAGCCTCTGCCTCATACTGAGTTAGTACTAGTACTAACTAGTACTACACACTATACAGTAGTAGTACTAGCCATGCAAGACTGTTACTTTCACAAGGAGCCTCTGCCTCATACTGAGTTAGTACTAGTACTAGTACTACACACTACACAGTAGTAGTAGTAGCCATGCAAGACTGTTACTTTCACGAAGAGCCTCTGCCTCATACTGAGTTAGTACTACTAGTACTCACTACTACTACACACTACACAGTAGTAGTAGTAGCCATGCAAGACTGTTACTTTCATGAAGAGCCTCTGCCTCATACTGAGTTAGTACTACTAGTACTAACTCAGGCTCTTCATGAAAGTACTACTAGTACTAACTAGTACTACACACTACACAGTAGTAGTACTAGCTATGCAAGACTGTTACTTTCATGAAGAGCCTCTGCCTCATACTGAGTTAGTACTAGTACTAGTACTAACTAGTACTACACACTACACAGTAGTAGTAGTAGCCATGCAAGACTGTTACTTTCACGAAGAGCCTCTGCCTCATACTGAGTTAGTACTAGTACTAGTACTACACACTACACAGTAGTAGTAGTAGCCATGCAAGACTGTTACTTTCACGAAGAGCCTCTGCCTCATACTGAGTTAGTACTACTAGTACTAACTCAGGCTCTTCATGAAAGTACTACTAGTACTAACTAGTACTACACACTACACAGTAGTAGTACTAGCTATGCAAGACTGTTACTTTCACGAAGAGCCTCTGCCTCATACTGAGTTAGTACTAGTACTAAGTTAGTACTAGTACTAACTAGTACTACACACTACACAGTAGTGCTAGTCACTACACAGTAGTAGTCACTATCACCACTAGTAGTACTAGCTATGCAAGACTGTTACTTTCACGAAGAACCTCTACCACACACAGAGTACTAGTACACACTACCACATACAGAGTACGTGTACTACACACTATCACCACTACTACTCACTACCACCACTAGTAGTACTAGTACACACTACCACAGAGAGTACTAGTACACACTACCACCACTACTACTACTCACTACCACTAGTACTACTAGTAGTAGTCACTACTACTAGTACTACTAGTACTCACTACTATTACTACTCAATACGAGTACTCACTAGTACTCACTACTGGTACTCACTAGTACTACTAGTACTCACTACTAGTACTACTCACTACTAGTACTACTCACTACTAGTACTACTCACTACTAGTACTAGTAGTACTAGTAGTGAGTAGTACTAGTAGTAATACTAGTAGTAGTAGTACTAGTACTACTCACTACTAGTGTAGTAGTAGTACTAGTACTACTAGTACTACTACTAGTACCACTACTAGTACTACTAGTACTAGTACTCACTACTAGTACTACTACTACTACTAGTACTACTACTACTAGTACTACTCACTACTAGTACTACTACTAGTACTACTAGTACTAGTAGTAGTACTAGTACTACTAGTACTACTCACTACTAGTACTAGTACTAGTACTACTACTAGTACTAGTACCACTAGTACCACTAGTACTAGTACTACTAGTACTACTAGTACTAGTAGTACTAGTACTACTAGTACTACTCACTACTAGTACTACTCACTACTAGTACTACTACTAGTACTACTCACTACTAGTACTACTACTAGTACTACTAGTACTAGTAGTAGTACTAGTACTACTAGTACTACTCACTACTAGTACTACTACTAGTACTACTACTAGTACTACTAGTACTAGTACTACTAGTACTACTACTACTGGTACTACTAGTACTAGTAGTACTAGTACTACTAGTACTACTCACTACTAGTACTACTCACTACTAGTACTACTACTAGTACTACTCACTACTAGTACTACTAGTACTCACTACTAGTACTACTAGTACTACTCACTAGTACTCACTAGTAGTACTAGTACTACTAGTACTCACTACTAGTACTAGTACTACTAGTACTAGTAGTACTACTAGTACTAGTACTAGTACTCACTAGCAGTACTACTAGTACTCACTAGTACTCACTACTCACTAGTAGTACTCACTAGTACTAGTAGTGCTCACTAGTACTCACTTCTACTCACTACTACTCACTAGTACTCACTACTCACTAGTACTACTAGTACTCACTAGTACTCACTACTACTCACTAGAACTCACTAGTACTCACTAGTACTACTCACTACAACTCACTACTACTCACTAGTACTCACTAGTACTCACTACTACTCACTAGTACTACTAATACTCACTAGTACTACTCACTACTACTCACTAGAACTCACTAGTACTCACTAGTACTACTCACTACAACTCACTACTACTCACTAGTACTCACTAGTACTCACTACTACTCACTACTACTCACTAGTACCACTAGTACTCACTAGTACTACTAGTACTACTAGTACTACTCACTAGTACTACTAGTACTACTCACTACTACTCACTAGTACTCACTACTCACTACTACTCACTAGTACTACTCACTAGTACTACTCACTAGTACTACTCACTAGTACTACTAGTACTACTCACTACTACTCACTAGTACTCACTACTCACTACTACTCACTAGTACTCACTAGTACTCACTAGTACTACTCACTAGTACTCACTAGTACTCACTACTCACTAGTACTACTCACTAGTACTACTCACTACTACTCACTAGTACTCACTACTCACTACTACTCACTAGTACTCACTAGTACTACTCACTAGTACTACTCACTACTACTCACTAGTACTACTCACTAGTACTCACTAGTACTCACTACTCACTACTACTCACTAGTACTCACTACTACTCACTACTCACTAGTACTCACTAGTACTACTCACTAGTACTCACTACTACTCACTACTACTCACTAGTACTATTCACTACTACTCACTAGTACTCACTAGTACTACTCACTAGTACTCACTACTCACTAGTACTACTCACTAGTACTCACTACTACTCACTAGTACTCACTAGTACTCACTAGTACTACTCACAAGTACTCACTACTCACTAGTACTCACTAGTACTACTCACTAGTACTCACTACTACTCACTACTACTCACTAGTACTCACTACTACTCACTAGTACTACTCACTACTACTCACTAGTACTCACTACTCACTAGTACTCAATACGAGTACTCACTAGTACTCACTACTGGTACTCACTAGTACTACTAGTACTCACTACTAGTACTACTCACTACTAGTACTACTCACTACTAGTACTAGTAGTACTAGTAGTGAGTAGTACTAGTAGTAATACTAGTAGTAGTAGTACTAGTACTACTCACTACTAGTGTAGTAGTAGTACTAGTACTACTAGTACTACTACTAGTACCACTACTAGTACTACTAGTACTAGTACTCACTACTAGTACTACTACTACTAGTACTACTCACTACTAGTACTACTACTACTAGTACTACTACTACTAGTACTACTCACTACTAGTACTACTACTAGTACTACTACTACTAGTACTACTCACTACTAGTACTACTACTAGTACTACTACTACTAGTACTACTAGTACTAGTACTACTCACTACTAGTACTACTACTAGTACTACTACTAGTACTACTCACTACTAGTACTACTACTAGTACTACTCACTACTAGTACTACTACTAGTACTACTACTACTAGTACTACTAGTACTAGTACTACTCACTACTAGTACTACTACTAGTACTACTACTAGTACTACTCACTACTAGTACTACTACTAGTACTACTCACTACTAGTACTACTACTAGTACTACTACTAGTACTACTACTACTAGTACTACTAGTACTAGTACTACTCACTACTAGTACTACTAGTACTCACTACTAGTACTACTCACTACTAGTACTACTACTAGTACTACTCACTACTAGTACTACTAGTACTCACTACTAGTACTAGTACTACTAGTACTAGTACTACTACTCACTAGCAGTACTACTAGTACTCACTAGTACTCACTACTCACTAGTACTCACTAGTACTAGTAGTGCTCACTAGTACTCACTTCTACTCACTACTACTCACTAGTACTCACTACTCACTAGTACTAGTAGTGCTCACTAGTACTCACTTCTACTCACTACTACTCACTAGTACTCACTAGTACTAGTAGTACTCACTAGTACTAGTAGTACTCACTAGTACTCACTTCTACTCACTACTACTCACTAGTACTACTAGTACTCACTAGTACTCACTAGTACTCACTACTACTCACTAGTACTCACTAGTACTACTAGTACTACTCACTACTACTCACTAGTACTCACTACTCACTACTACTCACTAGTACTCACTACTCACTACTAGTACTACTCACTAGTACTACTCACTACTACTCACTAGTACTCACTACTCACTACTACTCACTAGTACTCACTAGTACTCACTAGTACTACTCACTAGTACTCACTACTCACTACTACTCACTAGTACTCACTACTCACTACTAGTACTACTCACTAGTACTACTCACTACTACTCACTAGTACTCACTACTCACTACTACTCACTAGTACTCACTAGTACTCACTAGTACTACTCACTAGTACTCACTACTCACTACTACTCACTAGTACTCACTACTACTCACTACTCACTAGTACTCACTAGTACTACTCACTAGTACTCACTACTACTCACTACTACTCACTAGTACTATTCACTACTACTCACTAGTACTCACTAGTACTACTCACTAGTACTCACTACTCACTAGTACTCACTAGTACTACTCACTAGTACTCACTACTACTCACTAGTACTCACTAGTACTCACTAGTACTACTCACAAGTACTCACTACTCACTAGTACTCACTAGTACTACTCACTAGTACTCACTACTACTCACTACTACTCACTAGTACTCACTAGTACTACTCACTACTACTCACTAGTACTCACTACTCACTAGTACTCACTAGTACTCACTACTACTCACTAGTACTCACTAGTACTCACTAGTACTACTCACTAGTACTCACTACTCACTAGTACTCACTAGTACTCACTACTACTCACTACTACTCACTAGTACTCACTACTACTCACTAGTACTACTCACTACTACTCACTAGTACTCACTACTCACTAGTACTCACTAGTACTCACTAGTACTCACTACTACTCACTAGTACTCACTACTACTCACTAGTACTACTAGTACTACTCACTAGTACTCACTACTCACTACTACTCACTAGTACTCACTACTACTCACTAGTAGTACTCACTGGTACTCACTAGTACTCACTACTCACTAGTACTCACTACTACTCACTACTACTCACTAGTAGTACTCACTGGTACTCACTACTCCTCACTCGTACTCCTCACCATTGCTCACCACCCCTCCCAGTGTGTTTGCTGGGTGCCAGATTCCGTACCCCAAGCGAGAATTCCTCAATGAGGAGGAGAGTGAAGACAAAGCAGATAAGGTGAGGAGCATGGACTCACCACTCACCACTTACTCACCACTTACTCACCACTTACTCACCACTTACTCACCACACACTCACCACTCACCACTTACTCACCACTCACCCACTCACCACTCACTCACCACTTACTCACCACTTACTCACCACTCACCACTTACTCACCACTCACTCACCACTCACTCACCACTCACCACTCACCACTTACTCACCACTCACTCACCACTTACTCACCACTCACCACTTACTCACCACTCACTCACCACTCACTCACCACTCACCACTTACTCACCACTCACTCACTCACCACTCACCACTTACTCACCACTTACTCACCACTCACCACTTACTCACCACTCACTCACCACTCACCACTCACTCACCACTCACCACTCACTCACCACTCACCACTTACTCACCACTCACCACTCACTCACCACTCACCACTCACTCACTCACTCACCACTCACCACTCACTCACCACTCACCACTCACTCACTCACTCACCACTTACCACTTACTCACCACTTACTCACCACTCACCACTTACTCACCACTCACCACTTACTCACCACTTACTCACCACTCACCACTCACCACTTACTCACCACTCACCACTCACCACTTACTCACCACTTACTCACCACTCACCACTCACTCACCACTCACCACTTACTCACCACTGACCACTTACTCACCACTCACCACTCACTCACCACTTACTCACCACTTACTCACCACTCACCACTCACTCACCACTCATCACTTACTCACCACTTACCACTTACTCACCACTCACTCACCACTCACCACTCACCACTTACTCACCACTTACTCACCACTCACCACTCACTCACCACTCACCACTTACTCACCACTCACTCACCACTCACCACTCACTCACCACTCACCACTTACTCACCACTCACCACTCACCACTACACTCACCACTCACTCACCACTTACCACTCACCACTCACCACTACACTCACCACTCACCACTTACTCACCACTCACTCACCACTTACTCACCACTCACCACTCACCACTTACTCACCACTTACTCACCACTTACTCACCACTCACCACTACACTCACCACTCACTCACCACTCACCACTCACTCACCACTTACTCACCACTTACTCACCACTCACCACTTACTCACCACTTACTCACCACTTACTCACCACTCACCACTCACTCACCACTTACTCACCACTTACTCACCACTCACCACTTACTCACCACTCACTCACCACTTACTCACCACTTACTCACCACTCACCACTTACTCACCACTCACCACTTACTCACCACACACTTACCACTCACCACTCACTCACCAACACTCACCACTTACTCACCACTTACTCACCACTCACCACTACACTCACCACTCACCACTTACCACTCACCACTTACTCACCACTTACTCACCACTCACCACTCACTCACCACTCACCACTCACTCACCACTCACCACTCACTCACCACTCACCACTCACTCACCACTCACTCACCACTCACCACTCACAACTCACTCACCACTCACCACTCACTCACCACTCACCACTCACTCACCACTTACTCACCACTCACCACTACACTCACCACTCACTCACCACTCACCACTTACTCACCACTCACCACTACACTCACCACTCACTCACCACTTACTCACCAACACACTCACCACTCACCACTTACCACTCACCACTCACCACTTACTCACCACTCACCACTCACCACTTACTCACCACTCACCGCTTACTCACCACACACTCACCACTCACTCACCCACACACTCACTCACTCACTCACCCACTCACTCACCACTTACTCACCACTTACTCACCACTCACCACTCACCACTTTCTCACCACTTACTCACCACTCACCACTTACTCACCACTTACTCACCACTCACCACTTACTCACCACTTACTCACCACTCACTCACCACTTACTCACCACTCACCACTCACTCACCACTCACCACTTACTCACCACTCACCACTCGCTCACCACTCACACACTCACTCACTCACACACTCACTCACCACTCACCACTTACTCACCACTCACCACTTACTCACCACTCACCACTCACTCACACACTCACTCACCCACTCACTCACTCATCACTCACCACTCACCACTTACTCACCACTCACCACTTACTCACCACTTACTCACTCACTCACCACTCACTCACCACTCACTCACCACTCACTCACTCACTCACCACTCACCACTTACTCACCACTTACTCACCACTCACTCACCACTCACTCACCACTCACTCACCACTCACCACTCACTCACTCACTCACCACTCACCACTTACTCACCACTTACTCACCACTCACTCACCACTTACTACTCACCACTTACTCACCACTCACCACTCACCACTTACTCACCACTCACCACTCACCACTTACTCACCACTTACTCACCACTCACCACTTACTCACCACTTACTCACCACTCACTCACCACTCACCACTCACTCACCACTTACTCACCACTCACTCACCACTCACTCACCACTCACTCACCACTCACACACTCACTCACCCACTCACTCACTCACCACTCACTCACCACTCACACACTCACCCACTCACTCACCACTCACCACTCACTCACCACTCACCACTTACTCACCACTTACTCAACACTCACCACTCACTCACTCACTCACCACTCACTCACCACTTACTCACCACTCACTCACCACTCACTTACTCACTCACCACTCACCACTCACTCACCACATACTCACCACTCACTCACTCACTCACCACTCACTCACTCACCACTCACTCACTCACTCACCACTCACTCACTCACCACTCACTCACTCACTCACCCACTCACCACTTACTCACCACTTACTCACTCACCACTTACTTACTCACCACTCATTCACCACTCATCACTCACCACTCACTCACCCACTCACTCACACACTCACTCACCCACTCACTCACCACTCACTCACTCACACACTCACTCACCCACTCACTCACCACTCACCCACTCACTCACTCACCCACTCACTCACTCACCCACTCACTCACCACACACTCACTCACCACTCACCACTCACTCACTCACTCACCACCCACTCACTCACTCACCACTCACTTACCACTCACCACTCACCACTTACTCACTCACCACTCACACACTCACCACTTACTCACCACTCACTCACCACTCACTCACTCACTCACCACTTACTCACCACTCACTCACCACTCACTCACTCACCACTCACTCGCCACTCACTCACTCACTCACCACTCACTCACCACTCACTCACCACTCACTCACTCACCACACACTCACCACTCACTCACTCACCACTCACTCACTCACTCACCACTCACTCACCACTCACTCACTCACTCGCTCACCACTCACTCACCACTCACTCACACACTCACTCACGCACTCACCACTTACTCACCACTCACCACTCACTCACCACTCACCACTCACTCACCACTCACTCACCACTCACCACTCACTCACCACTGACTACTCACCACTCACTCACCACTTACTCACCACTCACCACTCACTCACTCACCACTCACTCACCACTTACTCACCACTCACTCACCACTCACCACTCACTTACTCACTCACCACTCACTCACTCACTCACCACTCACTCACTCACTCACCACTCACTCACTCACCACTCACTCACTCACCATTCACTCACTCACCCACTCACCACTTACTCACCACTTACTCACTCACCACTTACTTACTCACCACTCACTCACCACTCACCACTCACTCACCACTCACTCACTCACCCACTCACTCACTCACACACTCACTCACCCACTCACTCACCACTCACTCACTCACACACTCACTCACCCACTCACTCACCACTCACCCACTCACTCACTCACCCACTCACTCACCCACTCACTCACCACTCACCACTCACTCACCACCCACTCACTCACTCACCACTCACTTACCACTCACCACTCACCACTTACTCACTCACCACTCACTCACCACTTACTCACCACTCACTCACCACTCACTCACTCACTCACCACTTACTCACCACTCACTCACCACTCACTCACTCACTCACCACTCACTCACCACTCACTCACTCACCACTCACTCACTCACTCACCACTCACTCACCACTCACTCACCACTCACTCACTCACTCACCACACACTCACCACTCACTCACTCACCACTCACTCACTCACCACTCACTCACTCACTCACCACTCACTCACCACTCACTCACTCACCACTCACTCACTCACACACTCACTCACTCACTCACCACTCTCTCACCACTCACTCACTCACCACTCACTCACTCACTCACCCACCCCACTCACTCACCCACTCACCCACTCACTCACTCACCCACTCGCTCACCACTCACTCACTCACCACTCACTCACTCACTCACCTGCTCACTACTCACTCACCACTCACCACTCGCTGGCTCACCACTCACTCACCACTCACTCACCACTCACTCACTCACTCACCACACACTCACCACTCACTCACTCACCACTCACTCACTCACCACTCACTCACTCACTCACCACTCACTCACCACTCACTCACCACTCACTCACTCAACACTCACTCACTCACCACTCACTCACCACTCACTCACCACTCACCACTCACTCACTCACACACTCACTCACTCACCACTCACTCACCACTCACTCACTCACCACTCACTCACTCACCACTCACTCACCACTCACTCACCACTCACTCGCTCACCACTCACTCACCACTCACTCACCCCTCACTCACTCACCACTCACTCACTCACCACTCACTCACTCACCACTCACTCACTCACACACTCACCACACACTCACTCACCCACTCACTCACCCACTCACTCACTCACTCACCACTCACTCACTCACTCACCCACTCACTCACTCACTCACCCACTCACTCACTCACCCACTCACTCACTCACTCACCCACCCCACTCACTCACCCACTCACCCACTCACTCACTCACCCACTCGCTCACCACTCACTCACTCACCACTCACTCACTCACTCACCTGCTCACTACTCACTCACCACTCACCACTCGCTGGCTCACCACTCACTCACTCACCACTCGCTCACCACTCACTCACCACTCACCACTCACTCGCTCACCACTCACTCACTCACCACTCGCTCACCACTCACTCGCTCACCACTCACTCACCACTCACCACTCACTCGCTCACCACTCACTCACTCACCACTCGCTCACCACTCACTCGCTCACCACTCACTCGCTCACCACTCACTCGCTCACCACTCGCTCACCACTCGCTCACCCACTCACTCGCCCACTCGCTCACCACTCACTCGCTCACCACCCACCCACCAACTCACCCACTCACCAACTCATCCAACCACCAACTCACCCACTCACCAACTCGTCCACCCACCCACCCACCAACTCACCCACCCACTCAATCACACCCACTCACCCACCCACTCACTCACTCACTCACCCACTCACTCACCCACCCACTCACTCTCTCACCCACCCACTCACCCACCCACTCACCCACCCACCCACTCACCCACCCACCCACCCACTCACCACACACTCACCCACCCACCCACTCACCACTCACCCACTCACTCACCTACCATCTCACCCACTCACCCACCCACCAACTCACCCACCCACCCACTCACCCACCCACCCTCCACAGACCCAGCAACAGCAACAACAACAACAACAACAGCAACAACAACAACAGCAGCAGCAGCAGCAGCCCGGCAACCATGGCAACCACGGTAACCACGGCAACCACGGTAACCACGGCAACCACGGTAACCACGGCAACAACAACAACAACAACGGAGGAGGTGGTGGTGGTGGTGCCGAGGGGGTCCACGGAGGTGTCCAAGGGCCGCCCAACAAGAAGCCTCGCACCCAGCCTCCCACTCAGCCCAGCGCAGGGACTGGGGCTACTACCTCGGGAGACTACCAGGTACTCACTCAGGTACTCACTCAGGTACTCACTCAGGTACTCACTCAGGTGTTCAGGTACTCACTCAGAGACTCAGAGACTCACTCACAGACTCACTCACAGACTCATTCAGAGACTCACTCAGAGACTCACTCACAGACTCACTCACAGACTCACACAGGTACTCACTCAGAGACTCACTCAGAGACTCACTCAGAGACTCACTCAGAGACTCACTCACTCAGAGACTCACTCAGCCTCCCACTCAGCCCAGCGCAGGGACTGGGGCTACTACCTCGGGAGACTACCAGGTACTCACTCAGGTACTCACTCAGGTACTCACTCAGAGACTCAGAGATTCACTCAGAGACTCACTCAGGACTCACTCAGAGACTCACTCAGCCTCCCACTCAGCCCAGCGCAGGGACTGGGGCTACTACCTCGGGAGACTACCAGGTACTCACTCAGGTACTCACTCAGGTACTCACTCAGGTACTCACTCAGGTACTCACTCAGGTACTCACAGACTCACTCAGAGACTCACTCACAGACTCACTCAGAGACTCACTCACTCAGAGACTCACTCAGAGACTCACTCACTCAGGTACTCACTCAGGTACTCACTCAGGTACTCACTCAGGTACTCAGAGAATCACTCAGAGACTCACTCACAGACTCATTCAGAGACTCACTCAGAGACTCACTCAGCCTCCCACTCAGCCCAGCGCAGGGACTGGGGCTACTACCTCGGGAGACTACCAGGTACTTACTCAGGTACTCACTCAGGTACTCAGGTACTCAGAGACTCACTCAGAGACTCACTCAGAGACTCACTCACAGACTCACTCACAGACTCACTCACTCAGAGACTCACTCAGAGACTCACTCACTCAGAGACTCACTCAGAGACTCACTCACTCAGGTACTCACTCAGGTACTCACTCAGGTACTCACTCAGAGACTCAGAGATTCACTCAGAGACTCACTCAGAGACTCACTCAGAGACTCACTCAGAGACTCACTCAGCCTCCCACTCAGCCCAGCGCAGGGACTGGGGCTACTACCTCGGGAGACTACCAGGTACTTATTCAGGTACTCACTCAGGTACTCAGGTACTCAGAGACTCACTCAGAGACTCACTCAGAGACTCACTCACAGACTCACTCACAGACTCACTCACTCAGAGACTCACTCAGAGACTCACTCACTCAGAGACTCACTCAGAGACTCACTCACTCAGGTACTCACTCAGGTACTCACTCAGGTACTCACTCAGAGACTCAGAGATTCACTCAGAGACTCACTCAGAGACTCACTCAGAGACTCACTCAGAGACTCACTCAGCCTCCCACTCAGCCCAGCGCAGGGACTGGGGCTACTACCTCGGGAGACTACCAGGTACTTACTCAGGTACTCACTCAGGTACTCAGGTACTCAGAGACTCACTCAGAGACTCACTCAGAGACTCACTCACAGACTCACTCACAGACTCACTCACTCAGAGACTCACTCAGAGACTCACTCACTCAGAGACTCACTCAGAGACTCACTCACTCAGGTACTCACTCAGGTACTCACTCAGGTACTCACTCAGAGACTCAGAGATTCACTCAGAGACTCACTCAGAGACTCACTCAGAGACTCACTCAGAGACTCACTCAGCCTCCCACTCAGCCCAGCGCAGGGACTGGGGCTACTACCTCGGGAGACTACCAGGTACTCACTCAGGTACTCACTCAGGTACTCACTCAGGTACTCAGAGACTCACTCAGAGACTCACTCAGAGACTCACTCAGAGACTCACTCAGCCTCCCACTCAGCCCAGCGCAGGGACTGGGGCTACTACCTCGGGAGACTACCAGGTACTTACACAGGTACTTACACAGGTACTCACTCAGGTACTCACTCAGGTACTCACTCAGGTACTCACTCAGAGACTCACTCAGAGACACACTCACAGACTCATTCAGAGACTCACACAGAGACTCACTCACTCAGAGACTCACGCAGAGACTCACTCAGAGACTCACTCAGAGACTCACACAGAGACTCACTCACTCACAGACTCACTCACAGACTCACACAGAGACTCACTCAGAGACTCACTCACAGACTCACTCAGAGACTCACTCAGAGACTCACTCACTCACAGACTCACTCAGAGACTCACTCACAGACTCACTCAGAGACTCACTCAGAGACTCACTCAGAGACTCACTCACAGACTCACTCAGAGACTCACTCAGAGACTCACTCACAGACTCACTCAGAGACTCACTCACAGACTCATTCAGAGACTCACTCAGAGACTCACTCAGGCTCCCACTCAGCCCAGCGCAGGGACTGGGGCTACTACCTCGGGAGACTACCAGGTACTTACACAGGTACTCACTCAGGTACTCAGAGACTCACACAGGTGTTCAGGTACTCACTCAGGTACTCAGAGCCTCACTCAGAGACTCACTCAGAGACTCACTCACAGACTCACTCACAGACTCATTCAGAGACTCACTCAGAGACTCACTCAGAGACTCACTCACAGACTCACTCACAGACTCACTCAGCCTCCCACTCAGCCCAGCGCAGGGACTGGGGCTACTACCTCGGGAGACTACCAGGTACTTACACAGGTACTCACTCAGGTACTCACTCAGGTACTCACTCAGAGACTCACAGACTCACTCAGAGACTCACTCACAGACTCACTCAGAGACTCACTCACAGACTCACTCAGCCTCCCACTCAGCCCAGCGCAGGGACTGGGGCTACTACCTCGGGAGACTACCAGGTACTCACTCAGGTACTCACTCAGGTACTCACTCAGGTACTCACTCAGGTACTCACTCAGGTGTTCAGGTACTCACTCAGAGACTCAGAGATTCACTCACAGACTCACTCACAGACTCGCTCAGAGACTCACTCACAGACTCACTCACAGACTCACACAGAGACTAACTCAGAGACTCACTCACACAGGTACTCACTCAGAGACTCACTCAGAGACTCACTCAGCCTCCCACTCAGCCCAGCGCAGGGACTGGGGCTACTACCTCGGGAGACTACCAGGTACTCACTCAGGTACTCACTCAGGTACTCACTCAGGTACTCACTCAGGTGTTCAGGTACTCACTCAGAGACTCAGAGACTCACTCACAGACTCACTCACAGACTCATTCAGAGACTCACTCAGAGACTCACTCACAGACTCACTCACAGACTCACACAGGTACTCACTCAGAGACTCACTCAGAGACTCACTCAGAGACTCACTCAGAGACTCACTCACTCAGAGACTCACTCAGCCTCCCACTCAGCCCAGCGCAGGGACTGGGGCTACTACCTCGGGAGACTACCAGGTACTTACACAGGTACTTACACAGGTACTCACTCAGGTACTCACTCAGGTACTCACTCAGGTACTCACTCAGAGACTCACTCAGAGACACACTCACAGACTCATTCAGAGACTCACACAGAGACTCACTCACTCAGAGACTCACGCAGAGACTCACTCAGAGACTCACTCAGAGACTCACACAGAGACTCACTCACTCACAGACTCACTCACAGACTCACACAGAGACTCACTCAGAGACTCACTCACAGACTCACTCAGAGACTCACTCAGAGACTCACTCACTCACAGACTCACTCAGAGACTCACTCAGAGACTCACTCAGAGACTCACTCAGAGACTCACTCAGAGACTCACTCACAGACTCACTCACAGACTCATTCAGAGACTCACTCAGAGACTCACTCAGAGACTCACTCACAGACTCACTCACAGACTCACTCAGCCTCCCACTCAGCCCAGCGCAGGGACTGGGGCTACTACCTCGGGAGACTACCAGGTACTTACACAGGTACTCACTCAGGTACTCACTCAGGTACTCACTCAGAGACTCACAGACTCACTCAGAGACTCACTCACAGACTCACTCAGAGACTCACTCACAGACTCACTCAGAGACTCACTCAGAGACTCACTCAGAGACGCACTCAGAGACTCACTCAGAGATTCACTCACAGACTCAGAGACTTACTCAGAGACTCACTCAGAGACTCAATCAGACTCACTCACAGACTCACTCACAGACTCACAGACTCACTCAGAGACTCACTCAGAGACTCACTCAGAGACTCACTCAGAGACTCACACAGAGACTCACACAGAGACTCACTCAGAGACTCACTCACAGACTCACTCAGAGACTCACTCAGAGACTCACACAGGTACTCACGGACTCACACCGTGGCTGAATGTTGTACTGTACTTCACAGCGGACCGGATACCAAAACTCATCAGCGCAGGGATCAGTGGCACCCCAAGCTGGCCTAGGATACACAACATCAACCCAGCAGGGATCACAGTACACTCACTCACAGACTCATCGCTACTAACTCACTCACAGTACACTCACTCACTCACAGTACACTCACTCCCAGACTCATCGCTACTAACTCACTCACAGTACACTCACTCACAGTACACTCACTCACTCACAGTACACTCACTCACAGACTCATCGCTACTAACTCACTCATACACTCACAGTACACTCACTCACAGACTCACTCACTCACTCACACACTCACTCACAGACTCACTCACTCACACACTCACAGTACACTCACTCACAGTACACTCACTCACAGTACACTCACTCACAGACTCATCGCTACTAACTCACTCACAGTACACTCACTCACAGACTCATCGCTACTAACTCACTCACAGTACACTCACAGTACACTCACTCACAGACTCACTCACTCACACACTCACAGTACACTCACTCACAGTACACTCACAGTACACTCACTCACAGACTCATCGCTACTAACTCACTCATACACTCACTGTACACTCACTCACAGACTCACTCACTCACAGTACACTCACTCACAGACTCACTCACTCACACACTCACAGTACACTCACTCACAGACTCATCGCTACTAACTCACTCACAGTACACTCACTCACAGACTCATCGCTACTAACTCACTCACAGTACACTCACAGTACACTCACTCACAGACTCACTCACTCACAGTACACTCACTCACAGACTCACTCACTCACACACTCACAGTACACTCACTCACAGACTCATCGCTACTAACTCACTCACAGTACACTCCCTCACAGTACACTCACTCACTCACACACTCACTCACTCACAGTACACTCACTCACAGACTCACTCACAGTACACTCACTCACAAACTCACAGACTCACTCACAGTACACTCACTCACAAACTCATCGCTACTAACTCACTCATACACTCACAGTACACTAACTCACAGACTCACTCACAGTACACTCACTCACAGACTCACTCACTCATACACTCACAGTACACTCACTCACAGACTCATCGCTACTAACTCACTCATACACTCACAGTACACTCACTCACAGACTCACTCACAGTACACTCACTCACAGACTCACTCACTCACACACTCACAGTACACTCACTCACAGACTCATCGCTACTAACTCACTCACAGTACACTCACTCACTCACAGACTCACTCACAGTACACTCACTCACAGACTCACTCACACACTCACAGTACACTCACTCACAGACTCATCGCTACTAACTCACTCACTCACAGTACACTCACTCACTCACACACTCACTCACAGACTCATCGCTACTAACTCACTCACAGTACACTCACAGTACACTCACTCACAGACTCATCGCTACTAACTCACTCACTCACAGTACACTCACTCACAGACTCACTCACTCACTCACAGTACACTCACTCACAGACTCATCGCTACTAACTCACTCACAGTACACTCACAGTACACTCACTCACAGACTCACTCACTCACTCACAGTACACTCACTCACAGACTCATCGCTACTAACTCACTCACAGTACACTCACTCACACACACACTCACTCACTCACAGTACACTCACTCACAGACTCATCACTACTAACTCACTCACAGTACACTCACTCACTCACAGTACACTTACTCACAGTACACTCACTCACAGTACACTCACTCACAGACTCATCGCTACTAACTCACTTACAGTACACTCACTCACAGTACACTCACTCACTCACACACTCACTCACAGACTCATCGCTACTAACTCACTCACAGTACACTCACTCACAGTACACTCACTCACTCACAGTACACTCACTCACAGACTCATCGCTACTAACTCACTCACAGTACACTCACTCACAGTACACTCACTCACAGACTCATCGCTACTAACTCACTCACAGTACACTCACTCACTCACAGTACACTCACTCACTCACACACTCACTCACAGTACACTCACTCACAGACTCATCGCTACTAACTCACTCACTCACAGACTCACTCACTCACTCACAGTACACTCACTCACAGACTCATCGCAACTAACTCACTCACCCACCCACTCACTCACACTCACTCACCCACCCACTCACTCACCCACCCACTCACTCACCCACTCACCCACTCACTCACCCACTCACTCACCCACCCACTCACTCACACTCACTAAGTCTCACTCACTCACACTCACTAAGTCTCTCTCTCACCCACTCACCCACCCACTAAGTCACTCACAGTATACCCACTCACCCACTCACCCACCCACCCACTCACTCACCCACCCACTCACTCACTCACCCACTCACTCACTCACCCACTCACCCACTCACTCACCCACTCACTCACCCACTCACTCACTCACCCACTCACTCACCCACTCACTCACCCACCCACTCACTCACCCACTCACCCACTCACTCACCCACTCACTCACCCACCCACTCACTCACACTCACTAAGTCTCACTCACTCACACTCACTAAGTCTCTCTCTCACCCACTCACCCACCCACTAAGTCACTCACAGTATACCCACTCACCCACTCACCCACCCACCCACTCACTCACCCACCCACTCACTCACTCACCCACTCACTCACTCACCCACTCACCCACTCACTCACCCACTCACTCACCCACTCACTCACTCACCCACTCACTCACCCACTCACTCACTCACCCACCCACTCACTCAAACTCACTAAATCTCTCTCTCACTCACCCACTCACTAAGTCACTCACAGTACACCCACTCACTCACACACACTCACACTCATTAAGTCACTCACTCACCCACCCACTCACTCACCCATCCCACTCACTCACCCACTCACCCACTCACTCACTCACCCACTCACCCACTCACTCACCCACTCACCCACTCACTCACACTCACTAAGTCTCACTCTCACTCACTAAATCTCTCTCTCAATCACCCACTCACTCACTCACTAAGTCTCTCTCTCAATCACCCACCCACTAAGTCACTCACAGTACACCCACTCACTCACAGACACTCACACTCATTAAGTCACTTTCTCTCTCACTCACCCACTCACTCACCCACCCACTCACTCACCCACTCAATCACCCACTCACTCACCCACTCACTCACACTCATTAAGTCTCACTCTCACTCACTCAAACTCACTAAATCTCTCTCTCAATCACTCACCCACTCACCCACTAACTAAGTCACTCACAGTACACCCACTCACTCACCCACTCACTCACCCACTCACTCACCCACTCACTCACACTCACTAAGTCTCTCTCTCACTCACTCACACTCACTAAGTCTCTCTCTCACTCTCACTCACTCAAACTCACTAAATCTCTCTCTCAATCACTCACCCACTCACCCACTAAGTCACTCACAGTACACCCACTCACTCACCCACTCACTCACCCACTCACCCACTCACTCAAACTCACTAAGTCTCTCTCTCACTCTCACTCACTCAAACTCACTAAATCTCTCTCTCAATCACCCACTCACCCACCCACTAAGTCACTCACAGTACACCCACTCACTCACCCACTCACACACTCACTAAGTCTCTCTCTCACCCTCACTAAGTCACTCACAGTACACCCACTCACTCACCCACTCACTCACTAAGACTCTCTCTCACTCACCCACTCACTAAGTCACTCACAGTACACCCACTCACTCACAGACTCAATCTTTACAATCCCAATTTTATTACACGTTGCAACCTAAATAAAATATTGATGTGCGAGTCTGTGAGTGAGTCTCTGTGCGAGTCTGTGAGTGAGTCTCTGTGTGAGTCTGTGAGTGAGTCTGTGAGTTAGGCTCTGAGTGAGTCTGTGAGTGCGTCTGTGAGTGAGTCTCTGAGTGAGTCTCTGAGTGAGTCTGTGAGTGAGTCTGTGAGTGAGTCTCTGAGTGAGTCTCTGAGTCTCTGAGTGAGTCTCTGAGTGAGTCTCTGAGTGAGTCTGTGAATGAGTCTCTGAGTGAGTCTCTGAGTGAGTCTCTGTACGAGTCTGTGAGTGAGTCTCTGAGTGAGTCTGTGAGTGAGTCTCTGAGTGAGACTGTGAGTGAGTCTCTGTGTGTGAGTCTGTGAGTGAGTCTGTGAGTGAGTCTGTGAGTGAGTCTGTGGGTGAGTCTCTGAGTGAGTCTGTGAGTGAGTCTCTGTGTGAGTCTGTGAGTGAGTCTGTGGGTGAGTCTGTGGGTGAGTCTGTGAGTGAGTCTGTGTGTGAGTCTGTGAGTGAGTCTCTGAGTGAGTCTCTGTGTGAGTCTCTGAGTGAGTCTGAGTGAGTCTCTGAGTGAGTCTCTCTGTGTGAGTCTCTGAGTGAGTCTGTGAGTGAGTCTCTGAGTGAGTGAGTCTCTGTGTGAGTCTGTGAGTTAGTCTGTGAGTGAGTCTCTGTGTGAGTCTCTGTGTGAGTCTGTGAGTGAGTCTGTGGGTGAGTCTCTGAGTGAGTCTGTGAGTGAGTCTGTGAGTGAGTCTGTGGGTGAGTCTCTGTGTGAGTCTGTGAGTCTCTGTGTGAGTCTGTGAGTGAGTCTCTGAGTGAGTGAGTCTCTGTGTGAGTCTGTGAGTTAGTCTGTGAGTGAGTCTCTGTGTGAGTCTCTGTGTGAGTCTGTGAGTGAGTCTGTGAGTGAGTCTGTGAGTGAGTCTGTGTGTGAGTCTGTGAGTGAGTCTCTGTGTGAGTCTCTGTGTGAGTCTGTGAGTGAGTCTCTGTGTGAGTCTCTGAGTGAGTCTCTGTGTGAGTCTCTGTGTGAGTCTGTGAGTCTGTGAGTGAGTCTCTGAGTGAGTCTGTGGGTGAGTCTGTGAGTGAGTCTGTGGGTGAGTCTGTGAGTGAGTCTGTGAGTGAGTCTCTGAGTGAGTCTCTGTGTGAGTCTGTGTGTGAGTCTGTGTGTGAGTCTCTGTGTGAGTCTGTGTGAGTCTGTGAGTGAGTCTGTGAGTGAGTCTGTGGGTGAGTCTGTGGGTGAGTCTGTGAGTGAGTCTGTGAGTGAGTCTCTGAGTGAGTCTCTGTGAGTGAGTCTCTGTGTGAGTCTCTGTGTGAGTCTGTGAGTGAGTCTGTGAGTGAGTCTCTGTGTGAGTCTGTGTGTGAGTCTGTGTGTGAGTCTGTGAGTGAGTCTCTGTGTGAGTCTCTGTGTGAGTCTCTGTGTGAGTCTGTGAGTGAGTCTGTGAGTGAGTCTCTGAGTGAGTCTGTGGGTGAGTCTGTGAGTGAGTCTGTGAGTGAGTCTGTGAGTGAGTCTGTGAGTGAGTCTCTGTGTGAGTCTGTGAGTGAATCTCTGAGTGAGTCTGAGTGAATCTCTGAGTGAATCTGTGAGTGAGTCTCTGAGTATGAGTCTGTGGGTGAGTCTGTGGGTGAGTCTGTGAGTGAGTCTGTGAGTGAGTCTGTGGGTGAGTCTGTGAGTGAGTCTCTGAGTGAGTCTGTGAGTGAGTCTCTGAGTGAGTCTGAGTGAATCTCTGAGTGAGTGTGTGTGAGTCTGTGAGTGAGTCTGTGAGTGAGTCTCTGTGTGAGTCTGTGGGTGAGTCTCTGAGTGAATCTCTGAGTGAGTCTCTGAGTGAGTCTCTGAGTGAGTCTGTTAGTGAGTCTCTGAGTGAGTCTCTGAGTGAGTGAGTCTCTGTGTGAATCTCTGAGTGAATCTCTGAGTGAGTCTCTGTGTGAGTCTTTGAGTGAGTCTCTGAGTATGAGTGAGTCTCTGAGTATGAGTGAGTCTGTGAGTGAGTCTGGGGTTATCCGAGTCTCTGTGTGTGTGTGTGGAGAGGGGGAGTAGTGGCACAGTGGTCAGCGCAGCGCTGCACCACGAACGCCGCGACCTGAGTTCGATTCCCGCTCACGGTCAACATCAGTGGCGAGTTTAAACATTCAGCATTTGCACTTAGCCAGGGGGAATTTCCATAATCCTGGGCCTATGGTTAGGATGAGACTTTGGCCCTAGGCCCAACCCTTACCCTAGGCCCAAGCCTTACCCTAAGTCCAAGCCTTACCCTAGGCCCAAGCCTTACCCTAGGTTCAGGCCTTACCCTAGGCCCAACCCTATCCTAGGCCCAAGCCTTACCCTAGGCCCAAGCCTTACCCTAGGTTCAGGCCTTACCCTAGGCCCAAGCCTTACCCTAGGCCCAAGCCTTACCCTAGGTTCAGGCCTTACCCTAGGCCCAGGCCTTACCCTAGGCCCAAGCCTTACCCTAGGTTCAGGCCTTACCCTAGGCCCAACCCTTACCCTAGGCCCAAAGCCTTACCCTAGGCCCAACCCTAACCCTAGGTCCAGGCCTAACCCTAGGTTCAGGCCTTACCCTAGGTTCAGGCCTTACCCTAGGTTCAGGCCTAACCCTAGGTTCAGGCCTTACCCTAGGTCCAGGCCTTACCCCCTGCCCAGGCCTAACCCTAGGCCCAAGCCTAACCCTAGGTTCAGGCCTTACCCTAGGCCCAAGCCTAACCCTCGGTTCAGGCCTTGCCCTAGGCCCAGGCCCTACCCTAGTTTCAGGCTTAAACCTAGGCTCAAGCCTAACCCTAGGCCCAAGCCTAACCCGAGGTCCCAGGCCTTACCCTAGGCCCAAGCCTAACCCTCGGTTCAGGCCTTACCCTAGGTTCAGGCCTAAAACCTAGGTCCAGACCTAAACCAAGTTTAGACCTAATGCTAAGCGTGGGCCTACAGCTAGGCCCAGGCCTAGCGGCGGGTCCTGGTGATGGTGGGTGATGTTGGTGGTAACGGTCAGGTTCTGTGGAGGGCGAGAACATCACAGAGTTAGCAGTGCAACGCAGTGTGTAGAGGGGTCAGTGGTTGGGTGGGTGAGTAGGTGGGTGTGTGAGTGAGTGTGTGAGTGGTGAGTATCACAGTGAGTGTGTGAGTGAGTGTGTGTGAGTGAGTGTGTCTGAGTGAGTGTGTGTGTGTGAGTGAGTGGTGAGTATCACAGTGAGTGTGTGAGTGAGTGGTGAGTGTGTGTGTGATTGTGTGAGTGAGTGGTGTGTGTGTGAGTGTGTGTGTGAGTGTGTGAGTGAGTGGTGAGTGAGTGTGTGAGTGAGTGACTGAGTGAGTGTGTGAGTGTGTCTGAGTGTGTGAGTGTGTGAGTGGTGAGTATCACAGTGAGTGAGTGTGTGTGAGTGTGAGTGAGTGTGTCTGAGTGAGTGTGTGTGTGTGAGTGAGTGGTGAGTATCACAGTGAGTGTGTGAGTGAGTGGTGAGTGTGTGTGTGATTGTGTGTGTGTGATTGTGTGAGTGAGTGGTGTGTGTGTGAGTGTGTGAGTGGTGAGTGTGTGTGTGTGAGTGACTGAGTGAGTGACTGAGTGAGTATATGAGTGAGTGACTGAGTGACTGACTGAGTGTATGAGTGTATAAGTGAGTGTATGAGTGAGTGAGTGTATGAGTGAGTGTATGAGTGACTGACTGAGTGAGTGTATGAGTGTATAAGTGAGTGTATGAGTGAGTGAGTGTATGAGTGACTGAGTGAGTGTATGAGTGACTGAGTGAGTGTATGACTGAGTGACTGAGTGAGAGACCGAGTGTGTGAGTGTATGAGTGAGTGACTGAGTGAGTGAGTGTGTCTGAGTGAGTGTGTGAGTGAGTGGTGAGTATCACAGTGAGTGAGTGGTGAGTGTGTGTGTGATTGTGTGAGTGAGTGGTGTGTGTGTGTGAGTGAGTGTATGAGTGAGTGTGTGAGTGAGTGTGTGAGTGAGTGTGTGAGTGAGTGTATGAGTGAGTGTATGAGTGAGTGACTGAGTGTGTGAGTGACTGAGTGACTGAGTGAATGAGCGACTGAGTGATTGAGTGAATGAGTGACTGAGTGAGTGTATGAGTGTATAAGTGAGTGTATGAGTGAGTGTATGAGTAAGTGAGTGTATGAGTGAGTGAGTGTATGACTGAGTGAGTGAGTGACTGAGTGAGTGAGTGTATGAGTGACTGAGTGAGTGACTGAGTGAGTGACTGAGTGAGTGAGTCTCACAGTGAGTCGTAGCTGGGTGAGTGAGTGTTCACCACACGACACGTGATGAACACAATGGCCACCAGGGCGAGTGAGAGACTGAGTGAGTGAGTGGATGACTGAGTGAGTGACTGAGTGAGTGACTGAGTGAGTGACTGAGTGACTGAGTGAGTGAGTGAGTGACTGAGTGAGTGAGTGACTGAGTGAGTGACTGAGTGAGTGACTGAGTGAGTGAGTGACTGAGTGAGTGACTGAGTGTATGAGTGATTGAGTGAGTGACTGAGTGAGTGACTGAGTGAGTGAGAGACTGAGTGAGTGAGTCTCACAGTGAGTCGTAGCTGGGTGAGTGAGTGTTCACCACACGACACGTGATGAACACAATGGCCACCAGGGCCAGTGAGAGACTGAGTGAGTGTATGACTGAGTGAGTGACTGAGTGAGTGAGTGTATGACTGAGTGAGTGAGTGACTGAGTGAGTGAGTGTATGAGTGACTGAGTGTATGAGTGAGTGAGTGACTGAGTGAGTGAGGCTCACAGTGAGTCGTAGCTGGGTGAGTGAGTGTTCACCACACGACACGTGATGAACACAATGGCCACCAGGGCGAGTGAGAGACTGAGTGAGTGAGTGGATGACTGAGTGAGTGACTGAGTGAGTGACTGAGTGAGTGACTGAGTGACTGAGTGAGTGAGTGAGTGACTGAGTGAGTGAGTGACTGAGTGAGTGACTGAGTGAGTGACTGAGTGAGTGAGTGACTGAGTGAGTGACTGAGTGTATGAGTGATTGAGTGAGTGACTGAGTGTATGACTGAGTGAGTGACTGAGTGAGTGAGTGACTGAGTGAGTGAGTGAGTCTCACAGTGAGTCGTAGCTGGGTGAGTGAGTGTTCACCACACGACACGTGATGAACACAATGGCCACCAGGGCGAGTGAGAGACTGAGTGACTGAGTGAGTGACTGAGTGAGTGAGTGAGTCTCACAGTGAGTCGTAGCTGGGTGAGTGAGTGTTCACCACACGACACGTGATGAACACAATGGCCACCAGGGCGAGTGAGAGACTGAGTGAGTGACTGAGTGAGTGACTGAGTGAGTGAGTGAGTGACTGAGTGAGTGAGTGACTGAGTGAGTGACTGAGTGAGTGAGTGAGTGACTGAGTGAGTGAGTGACTGAGTGAGTGAGTGACTGAGTGAGTGATACTCACAGTGAGTCGTAGCTGGGTGAGTGAGTGTTCACCACACGACACGTGATGAACACAATGGCCACCAGGGCGAGTGAGAGACTGAGTGACTGAGTGAGTGACTGAGTGAGTGAGTGAGTCTCACAGTGAGTCGTAGCTGGGTGAGTGAGTGTTCACCACACGACACGTGATGAACACAATGGCCACCAGGGCGAGTGAGAGACTGAGTGAGTGACTGAGTGAGTGACTGAGTGAGTGACTGAGTGAGTGAGTGACTGAGTGAGTGACTGAGTGAGTGAGTGAGTGACTGAGTGAGTGAGTGACTGAGTGAGTGAGTGACTGAGTGAGTGATACTCACAGTGAGTCGTAGCTGGGTGAGTGAGTGTTCACCACACGACACGTGATGAACACAATGGCCACCAGGGCGAGTGAGAGACTGAGTGAGTGACTGAGTGAGTGACTGAGTGAGTGAGTGAGTGACTGAGTGAGTGAGTGACTGAGTGAGTGACTGAGTGAGTGAGTGAGTGACTGAGTGAGTGAGTGACTGAGTGAGTGAGTGACTGAGTGAGTGATACTCACAGTGAGTCGTAGCTGGGTGAGTGAGTGTTCACCACACGACACGTGATGAACACAATGGCCACCAGGGCGAGTGAGAGACTGAGTGAGTGACTGAGTGAGTGACTGAGTGAGTGAGTGAGTGACTGAGTGAGTGAGTGACTGAGTGAGTGAGTGAGTGACTGAGTGAGTGAGTGACTGAGTGAGTGACTGAGTGAGTGATACTCACAGTGAGTCGTAGCTGGGTGAGTGAGTGTTCACCACACGACACGTGATGAACACAATGGCCACCAGGGCGAGTGAGAGACTGAGTGAGTGACTGAGTGAGTGACTGAGTGACTGAGTGAGTGAGTGACTGAGTGAGTGACTGAGTGACTGAGTGAGTGACTGACTGAGTGAGTGACTGAGTGAGTGACTGACTGAGTGAGTGATACTCACAGTGAGTCGTAGCTGGGTGAGTGAGTGTTCACCACACGACACGTGATGAACACAATGGCCACCAGGGCCAGTGAGAGACTGAGTGAGTGACTGAGTGAGTGACTGAGTGAGTGACTGAGTGAGTGAGTGACTGAGTGAGTGAGTGACTGAGTGAGTGAGTGACTGAGTGAGTGACTGAGTGAGTGATACTCACAGTGAGTCGTAGCTGGGTGAGTGAGTGTTCACCACACGACACGTGATGAACACAATGGCCACCAGGGCGAGTGAGAGACTGAGTGAGTGAGTGACTGAGTGAGTGACTGAGTGACTGAGTGAGTGAGTGACTGAGTGAGTGACTGAGTGACTGAGTGAGTGACTGACTGAGTGAGTGACTGAGTGAGTGACTGACTGAGTGAGTGATACTCACAGTGAGTCGTAGCTGGGTGAGTGAGTGTTCACCACACGACACGTGATGAACACAATGGCAACCAGGGCCAGTGAGAGACTGAGTGAGTGACTGAGTGAGTGACTGAGTGAGTGACTGAGTGAGTGAGTGACTGAGTGAGTGAGTGAGTGACTGAGTGAGTGAGTGACTGAGTGAGTGACTGAGTGAGTGATACTCACAGTGAGTCGTAGCTGGGTGAGTGAGTGTTCACCACACGACACGTGATGAACACAATGGCCACCAGGGCGAGTGAGAGACTGAGTGAGTGAGTGACTGAGTGAGTGACTGAGTGACTGAGTGAGTGACTGACTGAGTGAGTGACTGAGTGAGTGAGTGACTGAGTGAGTGAGTCTCACAGTGAGTCGTAGCTGGGTGAGTGAGTGTTCACCACACGACACGTGATGAACACAATGGCCACCAGGGCCAGTGAGAGACTGAGTGAGTGACTGAGTGACTGAGTGAGTGTATGAGTGACTGAGTGAGTGACTGAGTGAGTGACTGAGTGACTGAGTGACTGAGTGAGTGACTGAGTGAGTGTATGAGTGAGTGACTGAGTGAGTGAGTGACTGAGTGAGTGAGGCTCACAGTGAGTCGTAGCTGGGTGAGTGAGTGTTCACCACACGACACGTGATGAACACAATGGCCACCAGGGCCAGTGAGAGACTGAGTGAGTGACTGAGTGAGTGACTGAGTGAGTGACTGAGTGAGTGAGTGACTGAGTGAGTGAGTGAGTGACTGAGTGAGTGAGTGACTGAGTGAGTGACTGAGTGAGTGATACTCACAGTGAGTCGTAGCTGGGTGAGTGAGTGTTCACCACACGACACGTGATGAACACAATGGCCACCAGGGCGAGTGAGAGACTGAGTGAGTGAGTGACTGAGTGAGTGACTGAGTGACTGAGTGAGTGACTGACTGAGTGAGTGACTGAGTGAGTGAGTGACTGAGTGAGTGAGTCTCACAGTGAGTCGTAGCTGGGTGAGTGAGTGTTCACCACACGACACGTGATGAACACAATGGCCACCAGGGCCAGTGAGAGACTGAGTGAGTGACTGAGTGACTGAGTGAGTGTATGAGTGACTGAGTGAGTGACTGAGTGAGTGACTGAGTGACTGAGTGAGTGACTGAGTGAGTGACTGAGTGAGTGACTGAGTGAGTGACTGAGTGAGTGAGTGAGGCTCACAGTGAGTCGTAGCTGGGTGAGTGAGTGTTC